TCTAAACGAGCGATTTTTATAAGTTCGAAATCGTACAACGCTCTCCTGGGTAACGTAGATATTAGTTTTTTTTTTTAGTTTTGGCACCCCCTCCACTTTTAAATGGTGCGAGATATAAACCGGAATCAATTTTGTATGAGTTGCCTTTATACGGTGTTAGATATAAACCTTTGCCTAAATGCGATGGTGTGTGTCTATTAAATTCATTAGCCATTTTCACAACGTTGGCAACACCACCAGTTAAGGCTCCCAGAGCTGACAAACCGGCAAAAATCGGTATGAGTGGTAACAAGCCGCCTTTTTCGGGATCGTTATGGTTCGTGGAACTTTAGTCTTCTTAATTTTAATAAATGTTTTTTCGCGCGACAGCTACACATTTTTTAGTTAATTTCATCAAGTTTTTTTCACCGATATTTTTCTTTATAACGTTTTTACTTGCTTTAAGTGCTGCTTTAAACCCACAACCTCCGCCTATTTTACGTTTTGTTTTCATAGCGGTAGTCACACCCCAAGCCACAGCTTTTTCTTTTAAACTAGAATCTTTTGACTTGAACCTATCCCAGGCTCGCTGCTCTAATATATAATCGGCTTTGTTTCGATCTGCGATAGAGTTGCTATGTTCGTATGCAATATCGTGATCTCTACAAGCAGAGTCCAGAGGGTTTATACCTTTATCACCATGTGCTAATCGTTTTTTTAAATTTGTACCAGGTCCACAGTATTGATAACCTAGAATATAAAATTATTATTGTATATATTATAATATTATAAGGTTTATATATATAATACCAGGTACGTGAAGCTCGATTGGTAATTTGTTTATAAGCGTGTTGATAAGTCCACTGCCCTTATTCTTGTTGCTTCTTCGAGCGAGTGACATTGTGTACTGATTGATTTATCATAGTTGCTCAGTTATTTATATAAAAAATGAAGTTCATCAAACAAGAAATAAAACTAACAGTTGAAAACGTGGACCCGCCTACATCAGATCAAAAACACACAGACGGAGCGCTTCTACCAAATACGATACGCGCGCTTATCGTGGGCCCTTCTGGCTGCGGAAAAAACATTTAATTTACACATTATTAACCAATATAAACGGAATACGATTTCAAAACGTATACATATATTCGAAAACATTGGATCAGCCTAAATATAAAATGCTTAGCGATATATTATCAGACATTGATGGAATACAATTATTCACGTTCTACGAAAATGAAAAAGTTATAGCACCTGAAGAAGCTTTGCCAAACTCTGTATTTATTTTTGACGATATTATTTCTGAAAACCAAAATATTGCAAGAACTTACTTTTCCAGAGCTAGACATAATTTAATAGACGTTTGCTACCTGGCTCAGAGTTATTCAAAAGTGCCAAAACAACTTTTGCGTGATAACGCTAATTTTATTGTGTTATTTAAACAAGACGAAACTAATTTAAAGCATGTATACAATGAGCATTGCTCTGGTGATATGTCATATTCAGAGTTTAAATACTTTAGTACATCGTGTTGGAGTCGGGGGAGATTCGAGTTTATCGTAATAAACAAAGACTGTGAACGTGACAATGGTCGATATCGCCTCGGATTTGACACATTCGTCGTTATATAAAGTGTTGTTTTTATGAAAACACCACATTCACAGACATGGCTTCTAACGGTGAGGTACTCGGAGAATTGATTAAAGCCAAAGAAAATATTAAACGCAAGTATGAAGCATTAAAACACGGAAAAGCTGATATTCACTCAATAGTATCAGAAACATTAAGTCCGATTATCGAACCATTAAACGAAATAAAACATTTAAATCCTGCAACATTTCAAACCCACCCACGGAACTTGGAAAAGACTCTCAAGATTCTCAATATTTTGAAATAAACAATACAGACGATTCGTCAGATTTTAAAATAAACGACTGGTTTAAGTCTTACGATATAGACAAAACGTATGGGCCAAAAATACGATCAAACGGAAGTGTATATTTGGGGAAAAAAGAAATTAATCTTGTCGGGAATAAATTGATTATTGAAGATACTTCATACCCGTTAACACAAGGGCTTGGTAATTTAGTGTTTTCAAAATCTCCAAAATTCTACACCAAACATGATTTAGAATCATATAAATCTATATTAATTCAACATCGCGCATCTAAAAACAGATGGAAAAGAAATTAAAAAAGGTGGAAATAAATATTATGATATAATCCAAAATTTATTTCTAGCGGGTAGAGGTCTATCTTTGAAATTACAAAAACATAGTTTAGTTTACTGGAACGATCCTAACGAACTAGTCGATAGATTGCGGTTACTATTAGCGTCAAAAGCGGCTGGTAATACAGGTGTTTCGAACGAAATAATATCCATTTTTGAAGAACTGCAAGAAGCGGGTATAATAAAACGTATTCCAAATGTCTAAACGCGAAATTGCGAACGAACTACACAAACCTGTTAGAAAAAATTATACAAGACGTAGAGTTAATGTTTATGGCAAAAACGATCTGTGGCAGGCCGACTTGGTCGAAATGATACCATATTCAAAACAAAACAAGGGGTACAAGTATATTTTGTGCGTCATAGACTGTTTTACAAAGTTTGCTTGGGCCATAGAATTAAAATCTAAAACTGCTAAAGAAGTTTCAAATGCAATGTCTAAAATACTGCTCACACGCACACCAAAACTATTACAGCTCGATAATGGTAAAGAATTTTACAATGCTACATTCGACGCATTGATGAAAAAGCATAACATACACAAATATTCAACGTTTAGCATCATGAAAGCATGCATTATCGAACGTTTCAACCGCACATTGAAAGAAAAAATGTTTAGAGAGTTTACGGCACGCGGTTCACACGAATGGATATCAATTTTACCTTCATTGATTAACGAGTACAACAACTCAAAACATAGGACAATAGGTATGACACCAGTGCAAGCTGATGCAGATCCGGCGGCTGTCGTAATTAAACAACGAAAAATTATTAATGGAACAATCAAATTTAACGTTGGTGATAACGTTCGTATAAGCACATATAAAAGTGTATTTACAAAAGGATATTTACCTAGCTGGTCTACAGAAATATTAAAAATTGTTAAAATTAACGAAACATTACCTACTACTTATCAGCTACAAGATTATACTGGAAAACCGATTGCTGGTTGTTTTTATTCAGAGGAAATATTGAAAACAAACTATCCGAATGACTATTTAGTGGAGAAAATTATCCGTAAGAAGGGGGAGCAAATTTTTGTCAAATGGCTAGGGTTTGATAATACACACAATAGTTGGATAAATGTACGTGACATTAGAAAATAGTGTTAGTCTAGCTACAGACATGAACGTGTTCGGTAGTTCTCAGTCTAGTGAAACTAATAATTTTTTAGTAAATCTTGAACAAATTGTTAAATCGTATTCGAATAAACTCGATAAAATTGAGCATTTACTCGAAGAAAACCATAAATCCATACAAATTCAAGAGGAACAAACAGAAAAGTTAGAATTAACGTGCATAGAGATTACAGAGCATATGACAAGAGGCGAAGTATCATTACAATATATCAAAGAAACTATAGGCGAGATTAAAAAAATAATACCATCTATACTGAGCCGTCTTAACACTATAGAAACTTATTATAAAGACAAGCCATAATGTCTTCAGCCATATTGGACATGCAATGCATACTCGGCGTCAACAATAAATATATGATTAAAGAAATGTCTATAGTAGACACGTTTACATGGGCGACCCAACATTGGATTTTTAAACATTCAAAATCCATAGAGGATAACAAAAGTCGTAAAACCAACAAGTGGCTGGAACGTAATTATCATCAACTAGCTATAGAATTTGGTGATGTCGAGTACGAAGAAGTAGGTAAAATATTGAATTCATTAAAATTCAGTTGCATCTACGTCAAAGGTGAACAGAAAAAACAAGTTCTTATGGAGCATATACCACACGTTGCACTCATCAACATTGAAGACTTAGGCTGCCCTCGTTTGGATCAAATATGTGATGACGAAACTCTACCTTGCTGTATTTTTCATATGGAATTTAATCCTAAGCAATGTACATTTTATAAAGTTTTTGCTATAAGAAAATGGTTTATAAATAATTCTTAAAGTTTTTTGTATACATTTTATTTAATAAATATAATAATATTATATTTTAACATTGTTTTTTATTTATATGCTAACATATATACATACATTTATATATGTTACCATTTAACCAGGTTTTTTAATTAAATATATTGACTTCCATCTACCTGAAACAGAAAACATGAACATTATACAAAAAAAAAAAAAATATTATAAGAAAACATTGTAAACTAACTTACATATCTAGCAAAAGCATACGGTATATTTACAGAGTATTTACAAATTATACACTATAAAATTATACATTTACATGGATATTATAAAGGTGTTAATACTACAATGTATACACTACTCTATACTCGTATTTACAAAAATATTTAACAAATTACACAATAATTTATTAACAAGTATTTACATTATATAACAATTAATAGGATAATATTTACAAAGTATTTACAAATTATACAATATAAAAATTATACATTTACATGGATATTTACAAAGTATACATTATAAAGGTGTTAATACCACAAATTTATACACTAATCTAATATTTTACAAATTACACAATAATTTATTATCAAGTATTACTTATATAACAATTATTAGGATAATATTTACAAGTTATTTACATTAATCAATATAATATAACAGTTAATAGAGTAATATTTACATTAATCAATATATATATATAACAAAAAAAAAATGTACAGTATATAAACTTAGGTTAGGCACTGTAGAAGGTCTCTCATTAAGCCTTTCTCTTCCTCGTTCCAGTTCCACCCTTCTTTCCCCCCCATAAAATCTAATTCCGGCCAATCATCCTCTGGTTCATCTTCCCTGTAAAATTAAGAGAAAATGTTAGTAAAATAATTTAAATATATATTTTGTAATAACTTACTCTATACTATAATGTCCATGGGCCAGTGTGTGTACTTTATCTTGCAGCACCAACCTCTTATCATCATAGCTGTTATATGCTAATTTTTTCGTCTTAATCGTCATGAGTTGATGTTTGAATGACCTTATTGACACGTTATCCTTATACGCCTCCACGCCAGCTTCTCCAAATAAACATTTCTTGTGGTCTTCCAATGTCATGTGGTTCTTAACCACATGCTGCCTTATCCCCTTTGCTTTAATTTTTTCACCACCAACTTTATCCTTGTCGTCCTTATCTCTCACCGCATCCTCTTCTCCTGCATATACATTAAAAGCGTAGGACTTTGCCCTCAATGCACAAAATTCGGTGATTATATCAGCATCTACTTCATCTGAGAAGTACCCAGGTTCCTTCTTTCTAACTGCAACATAACATGGATGATCACTGGGTAGGTTAGCTGTATCCATTCGATCCAACAAGCTGTGATTAGCTGCCAAGTCTTCATAAAAATCAGTAGTTTTAATATGGTATATCAACGAATCTAAAAATAAAAATAAATATAATATATGAAAATTAGATAAGTTTTAATATATTTACCTGTATCAGTGTACATTAGCTTAATTTTATCCCTATAGTGCTTCTGCATAACATTGTAGTGATAGTCATACATCAACGTCTTACTGATATCCAGCACTGAAAATCCTATAGAAAATAAATGTATTATATAATTTAAAAGTATATTTACCAATATATATAGGTTTGTCAAATTTAATTATCTTATTCTCCAACGCTACTGCATTGAGGTTTTCATTGTAATTAGTGCAGTGTTTAAAAGTAGTTTTATTAATACATTTCTGTAACCTCCTCTCACAGGATACCAACTCTATTTTCAGCTGTTTTCGTTTCGATTCCATAGTTTTTCCTGCACAATAGTAAATTTTTAAAAAGTTTTAAAAGTTTTAAAAATTTAAAAGTAACCTACCAAATACAGCGTTATTCATCAATTTAAAGAAGTCTTTCTCAAATGCGTTCCTAGCCTTTTTCCTCATTTCGGTGTTTAAATCTATATATTTAGCCAACCAATCTGACTGGTTAAACTGTATCACTCTATGTACCTATACAAAATAAGAGAAATGTTAAAAATCTGTTTAAAATCATATAAAATACAAATATTTACTTTTTCAACTATCAAACCATTCTTAATGGCCTGCTGTAGGTTCCTATAATGTACGATGTAATTCTCCTTTTTCTCAAATGTCGCCATCAACTTCCTAACCTTCGAGCCTCGAGGCACGCTGTTTTGCGGCAGGAAAGGCAGGTCGTTATGTCCGTTATGCAAGTGTCTTGGATACGACACGTCCACCTCATACACTCGTCCTATGGGTGAAGTGTCGTCTAAATCGTTCAACCCATTCAATGTAGGTTCAACCCAGTTGAACCCACCGTACGGCATGTACTGAGACATTGCCCACCCGTACAAGTTGTTACCTATAAAATTTAAAAAATATTATTAAGTAAGAAAAATATTAAAAAGTTTTGAAAAAAATATACTCACAGTCCTGATATATGATCCACGATTTCTCCTTCGTTTCGTCATACCCCGGAGTCTTTACATTGTTCGCCGTCGCATATCGCTTGCTCGCCTGCACCAATCCTCCACGTATACCTATAACAAATATATAAGATTATTAAATACACATTTAAAAAATAATATACTGACCATTTTCAAACATCAACAACATGTCGTAATCATGCAATAACTGGAGCTTTTGCCCCGTGAACTTAAGCATCGCATCGAAACTTAAGCCTGGGGCGGTGAAATAATGGGCGGCGTCCAGGTTATACGTCTTCATACACAAGTCGCGGAAGTTCTCAAAAACATCCGCCAGCAGTAACACGTCAATTTTCAGGTACAGGTCGGAATAATCACCGAGCGTCCTACAGTTAAAATGACTCCATACCTGTAACACACAACAATTTTCAAATATAGATCTAAATACGTGCGAAGTGTATACATACCTCCTTAGCATGGTCAAATTCGCTCTCCTTAATCCCGGTCTCTGTTAACGTACTGTAAAAGCTCCTCTTACTCGGTAACCTAGTATCCTCTAGCCGCTCCCAACTATCCGTGTACTCGTACGGGTACACCCCCTTACGAGTCACGAGCGGCATATCTCCGGTGACAAAATGTTTGGCTGTCTCACGGAATTTCTCATGTTCGGGTGTAAGCAAATTTTCAGCCAGGGACGACAGACTCGACGCCATAAACCGAAACGTGTCGATAAACCGAACAGTGAAGGTACTACTTATATATTTCGAAAAAGATATATATTTCTCTTCACTGTTCGGTATAACGTTGATAGTCTTAGTATCATACCCAAGTTCAGTGATTATGAAGTGCGAGTCGTAGTTTGTGAGATTATGAAAAAAGACAGGTACAAATTTAGGCTGTTGCAACTCTAAGTTACACCTAGAGCACAAGGTCTGCCTAAATTTGCCTGTCAAATGATCATGATCCCTAACCTTATCGCCCCCGACTAATATACATTTGCATAAATTACACTTAATACACTCTTGATGTGTTTTTTCTTCACCCTCAGCCATTTTTAACGGAATATTCGTCTTCATGAGATTTTCAATTTTCTGAGCCACCTCAACTATCGCCTCCACAAAATGTCTCGCTACGTCCGTCCTGTCTTCGCTGCCTCTGTAGATTACCGGCCCCGCCGGTATCTGGTGTTGAAGCAATAACTCTGCCGGTACGTCATCGCTCGCTTTCACCAAAAACCCATAACTCATAGCTTCGTGTTTCTGAGTAATCGTGGTACTACCCCCTCTTGCCTCCTCCGTCTTCGTCAAGATCGCCTCAAAATCCGCGTAAATGACAAACGGGTGCCTAACCGTGTTTTTCCACGCCTTGAACTCAGCACAATCACCCTCCTTAGGCATCTCTGGTAAAATTGGTTTGTGCGCGCCGCAAATCAATTTGTGTTGGTCCAGGGCCTCCTGCCCACTCAACTTGAATTTATGACGTCTGTCGTCGAAACTCGTAAAACATCTCTTACAGAACACGACACTCCCAGTGTGTCTGGTTTTCTGAGCGCGGACCAGCCTGGAAAAATTCGATATATACACGTAGTGAGAGTTGTCGCCGTCCGTCACCAACAACAGATCAAAGTGGTTGGTTTTCTCCTCATCAACGACACGTAGCGGGTACACCTCGTACGTCGGATATTTACGCGGTGGCTGGAACTTTTTGTCCAACCCATACACATTCACAGTGACGTTCGGATTATTTTTTTCAAATTTAGAAATATCCGATAGTGGTGTTGGAAACGAAATATCATCAAAATTATATTTTGCTTCGTGTTGTGTATAGTTTTTACCGACACAATATTTATATTTATCCGATAAATTATCGGCCACATGCCTCGCAAGAATCGCCCACTTGAAACATTGCTGGTCATTGTTTTGTGGGTTGATGGTGCCCCGTTTCCTGTCGATGTATGCTGGTAATTCACTATATGACGACCCAGTCATTGGTGTGTAGTTATATATTCCCAATAATAAGCCGTCTATGGCTTCCAAAGTAAAGCCACTACCGCGAGAAACATAAGCGTCTTCCTCAGCTAATAATTTCACGAACGCTTGTTCTACTATTGAGTCGATATCACTATCCGGATAAATTTCGGTTGCTGTTGTTTTAAACGCTCGGTTCTCCGACGAGTTTGGTACGTTGACCCGGTTATAGGTCGCCTCGAGCTTAAGGTTAAATTTAATCGCCCCTTGCTGAACGCGTGTTTTCAATATTTTATTTAGCTCGGGTTCGAGCGATCGAAGAAACTCGGTATAAATCATTGTATTATAAACATTTTTGGCATAGTACCATACAATTTTTCTATTTGCTGAGGACGAAATCTCAACGAAACCGGGGGACTGTACTAGGCTCATGCGCGCTTTTTTCGCCCTAGCAGCCGACGTGGTGTTGGCAGAGGAAACCCGTTTCCCGTTAACGTTGGTAGTGAAAGAATCTTTAAAAAAAAAAAAAAACCTAATATTAATATCTAATGAAAATAATAAATTGACTAATCTATTAAAAATCTAATTAACCCCACGACTGATAAATAAAATCTAATGAAACAGCTATTTATCTTTTTAACTTGTGACATTTACAAATAATTTAATGTCACGTATATTTTTTAAATCTTACGATAATAATTTTCAAAAAAAAAAATAATCTACGGAGGAAAAATCAGCAGGTCTTTTAAAAATCTAATTAATTCTTATAAATAAAACTAACCTGTATTCTCAAATTCGTCCATTGCCTTCGTACAAATAATATCGTCGTCGGATGCCGCATTCGATCCACCGGCCGGAACATCTGGGACAAATATTCGAGGAGCAATCTGAATATGACCTTGTGGAGTAGGCCGGGTAACACTTTGCTGTGCTGGTTGACGTTGAGCCGGAACGTTCACGACACCTCGATCATTTTCAGTCATTTCAGCGAGCATATTATCATACCCATCGTTAAAATATTCATCCAGTTCATTATTATCGACATTTTGAACTTGATATGATGATGAACCTTCCGATACAACATTATTCGGTGCGATTTCACCTAGTTGAGGTCTGACACGTGCTACAGCTTAAAAAATAAATATTGAATTAAATATTAAATAAAGCTAACTTAACCTAACAGCTCATAAAATATACATACCATGCACATTTTTCATATGCCTATTGAGATGTGTCTTGTAGCCGAATGTCGACGCGCAAATAGTACAAGAAAAACGAACACTATTGTGATTTTTTTGGTGAGCAGTCAAATTACCCTTACGCGTAAACGTGGATGGACACTGCTCGCATTTAAACATTTTTTCAAATTTTATAAGGTAGCAAAACAAAAATAAATAAACACTGAGTTCCGTGTAAATAATGTTGAACAGTAAAATAAAAACTTGCTAACAATATTTTAATGGCTTAGTTCGCTGACGAAAAATATACGTGTACAACGGTTTAAGACTGTAGACGTACTAAACGGATGTAGTAGGATCTTTCAGGACATTTTTGAAAATTATAAAATTTTACAGTGCGCATGCGTACGAAAGGTGCGGGTGAAGTCTCTAGAAGTTTAACAGGCCGGGGTAATTTTAGTGCGCATGCGTCAGTGATAGAGGATGTATACTGATAGTCGGTGGTCATCTGAACGATGCGCGTGCGTACGAAAGGTGCGGGGGTCACCTGGGGTGAAGTCTCTAGAAGTTTAACAGGTGAGGGAAATTTTAGTGCGCATGCGTCAGTGATAGAGGATGACTAATAGTCGGTGGTCATCTGAACGATGCGCGTGCGTACGAAAGGTGCGGGGGTCACCTGGGGTGAAGTCTCTAGAAGTTTAACAGGTGAGGGAAATTTTAGTGCGCATGCGTCAGTGATAGGGGATGTATACTAATAGCCGGTGGTCATCTGAACGAATATGTATTATCCCCCTAGCTTGCAGGCTTTAGTTGAATTATGGAAAGAGAAAGTCGTCGCAGATTTTGGTGGAATTATACGAATAATAGGCGCCATATTGTCGCGACGGCTGATATATAGTTAGATGTGTATTATTCCTTAGGTAGTAGGTTTTCGTTGAATTATGGAAAGGGAAGTCGTCGCAAATTTTGGCTTATACGAATAAAAGGCACCATATGTCGCGACGACGGTTATATAGTTAGTTGTGATTTTCTTGTTATACTTTTTGTGCCTTTCGTCAGCTCAGTATACTCTTAGTCTTATAAATATAAATACGACTTTTATTTACGTGTAATATTTATTATTTTGTTCGTGATTATTGCATCTCTCGCCTGGAAGACGTAAGTATTTTTTTTTTTCACATTATTCAAGACTTACGTATAAATCGATTTTTAGATGTCTAAAGATTCATCGTCTAGTTTGTCGTGGTTTAACGGGGATAGCTAAAATAGGGATCTTGTAGCGACTCCTCCAGAAGATACACCGCCTTTTTTTTATATGTCACCAGAGAGGACATTTGTATTAGTAAGTATATATTTTTTAATATTATTATATTTAAATTAAATTATTTATAAAATGTGTATAATCTGGTTTTAGCGGGTTAATAGACCGCCATCAAGGCCCGTCACCCCAAGGCCCATTACTCCAGCGTTAGATGAAAGTCTACAAGATGCGCAAAGACCGTGGAGTCTACAAGGTGCGCAAACACCATGGTGGTTTAGCCCGCAACTATTACCCGTTAGCCCACTCCCGCAGCGTCGCCCCATCGGATATTCAGATATGGTAAGTGTTAAATAAAAATTATGTCTTAGACTCAATATAATATAATATAATATAATATAAAATAAACAATAATTTTTAATTTAGACTCAAGATAGCGGTTTCTTTACCGAACAACAATTGCATAGTTCATTATCACAAGTTAGACAACCTTCTACACCTACAACACCGGGGGTATACGCATTGAACCTGATACAGAACATGGAGTTTTCACCATCACCGCTGCGACAATCTCAAATGGACGAATGGCTTCGTTCGTTTTCATCAATACAGTCTTCACCAGATATATTGCCGCTGGATGTTGTAGGCGGCGTGGTGTTTTCAAATTCATCGCGGCAATCTGAGATAAATGAATGGTTCCAATCTTTATCGCCCATCTCCCCTAGTGTGCTAAACATTATAGTACGGTCCCAGGTACTCCCGGAATTTGACGTACTAATTTTCGGGAGGATATCAAATACCACTCAACCCAGCCAAAATGCTACTGATTGGGCTGAGGATGGGTATAATGATATCCTGGAACTACACATGATGGCACATGAAGCAGTATGGAGCGATGACGAAGTTTTAAATATGGATACTAACGAAGGTAAATTACAGAAAAACTTATTTTTTAAATATAATTTATCTTTTGTTTTATATAATATTATTATTTTCAATAAACCTAATATTATTATTTTATATTTTGTTTTTTAGACGAAGAATTGAATCGACATATGGACGAATACGAGGGGAAAAACTAATTTTGCTTTATATAATAATATGTTTAGATTGTATATTTCTTGTAAAAAATATTGTGTATATTTCTTGTAAAAAATATTGTGTATAATATGTTTAGACTGTATATTTCTTGTAAAAAATATTGTGTATAATTATGTTTAGATTGTTTATTTCTTGTAAAAAATATTGTGTATAATGAATGAATGAATGTATATTTCTTGTAAAAAAAAAATATAATTTTTATTTTATATAATGAATGTATATTTCTTGTAAAAAATATTATGTATAATGAATGAATGTATATTTCTTGTAAAAAAAATATAATTTTTATTTTATATAATGAATGTATATTTCTTGTAAAAGGTGATATTATTATGGTTAAACCCATGGGGGAATTTTACAGTGCGCATGCGTACGATAGGTGCGGGTGTAGTCTCTAGAAGTTTAACAGGTGAGGGAAATTTTAGTGCGCATGCGTCAGTGATAGGGGATGTATACTAATAGCCGGTGGTCATCTGAACGATGCGCATGCGTACGAAAGGTGCGGCGGCCGATGATGGCAGGGAAAAGGGTGGCGAGGAAAATATACATGTCGCACACGTGAGCAATGTGCCGCCGGTGGTCAAAAATATAAGTCGCGCACGTACGTGAAGTGCGGCGGCCAATGGTCATAAGGATCAGAAGGGTCAGAGGGTCAGAAGGCCAGAAGGTCAGAAGGGTCAGCGGTCTGAACATACCAAATCATACTACTGATATACATTTTTTTTATACATATAAAGTATTGTCAAAAAATAGTGAGATATTTAGGTTTGTAAACTTCAATGTCTCTTCAATAGGTAGAACTAATGAAAAACTATTCTTAAAAATGCTGCAGATTAGCCTTCAGTATTTTTTTCAAACAGGAAACAAAACACTGGTGGATCTAGGATTTTATTTTTATTTTTCAGAGGGTAGAGAGGTCCAAAATTCGTGTTTGTAATATTTTTATCAAAAAAATTTAAATACATATTTATCAAAAAACACTTTTATTATAATATATAGTATAAAGGAATTATTATATTTAATGTACAACAACAGTGTGCGTTCCTATAATATTATAAATCTAAAAATTTAAAAATATTAGAATATGTTACTCATAACTCATAAGTCTAATGTCACAACTATATTTAGCAGGCAAGTCTGCCCCCCTCACCAAACCGTCATTGAAACACAAAACATTAAATCACACCGAATTTTGGAATAACATTATAATATCGGTTGTTGGAAACCATTTCCGAGAAGTAGCATAATCATTCATTTTACGTAATATGAGGAAATGTCGAATCAAAAATATTATCATATTATTATATTTAAAAAACGGAAAAGATAAAAAAAAACAAACAGAGCTTCGACCTATTTACGTAGTAGACATAATATTTTGTATGTATATGGGTGTGTATCATGTCTTAGCATTGTTGCATGCACGAGTGGGTTGTTTAACAATTTAATTTCGTTATTTATGCTGCACTTCGCAGATAATATAATAA